AGTCACTGAGTCATATCTGATTCTCTGCAACCCCATGGGATGCAGCATGCTAGGCTCTTCTGTCCTTTGATATACCCTGGAGTTGGCTCAGATTCATGTCCACTGAGTCAGTGATGCTATCTAACCATCTCATCCTCTGCTGCCCCCTTCTCCTTTTGCTTTCAATCTTTCCCAGCATCAGGGTGTTTTCCAGTGAGTTGGCTCTTCGCATCAAGTGGCCAAAGTATTGGAACTTCAGCTTCAGCAATAGTTCTTTCAATGAATATTCAAGGTTGATTTCCTTTAGGATTGACTGGTTTGATTTCCTTGTTGTCCAAGGGACTCTCCAGAGTCTTCTCCAGCACTGTAATTTGAAAGCATTTTTGTTTCTTTGGCACTTGGCCTTCTTTATGGCCCAGCTCTCATATCTGTACACAACTACTGGAAAAGTCATAGCTTTAAGTATATACACATTTGTGGGCAAAGTGATATTTCTGCTTTTGAATATACTATTTAGGTTTATCATAGTTTTCCTTCCAAGAAGCAAGTGTCTTTACATTTCATGGCTAGTGTCACCATCTGTAGTGATTTGGGAGCCCAAGGAAATTTTATCAGTCATCGCTTTCACTTTTTCCCCTTCTATTTGTCATAAAGTGTTGGGACCAGATGCCATGATCTTGGTTTTTTGAATGTTGAGTTTCAAGCCACCTTTTCCACTCTCCCCTTTCACCTTCATCAAGAAGCTGTTTGGTTCCTCTTCACTTTCAGCTATTAAAGCAGTATCCTCTACATATCAGAAGTTGTTGATATTTCTGAGCAAGCTTGACAGTAAATAGTAGTAAAAGGGTATTACTTTAAGTGAACTCTAGCATTAAATGCCTAATTAGAAAAAATGAGGACCTCAGGCATTATAAAATGTGTAAGTATAGAGAAGGTGATACTAGAGCAGTAGCACAAACCTTATTGTTTCTGTTTTGTAAATAAGTTCACTTGTATCAGTTTTTAGGTTCCACATGTGTGATATCTTATGAAATTTTTTTGTCTGACTGACTTCACTTAGTATGATAAGCTCTAAGTCCATCCTTGTTGCTGCAAATGGCATTATTTCATTCTTTTTCATGGCTGAGTAATATTCCATTAAATATAGGTACCACATCTTAATCCATTTCTCTGCTGATGGACATTCAGGTTGCTTCCATGTCTTGGCTATTGTAAATACTGTGGCTATGAACATTGGGGTGTGTGTATCTTTTCAATGTATGGTTTCCTTTGGATATGTGTCCAGGAGTGGGATTGCTGGATCATATGGTAGCTCTATTTTTAGTTTTTAAGGAACCTCCATACTGTTCTCCATCGTGACTGTACTGTTTACATTCCCACCAACATTTTAGGATGGTTCCCTAAAAGAGAAGAATTTTTATATTGACTCACAAATCACAATTAAACTAAAAGTGATACAGGGTGGCTAAAAAGTAATGGGCAAGGCTTTGGGAAATAAAGAAACAATAAGGAAGCAGGGATTGTGATATTGATATCAATAGAATGGAAAGCAGGCCAAGAGTTGCAAGTGGGAAATACAAGGACACTGTATAAAGTGAGGGCTAAAAATCATACTGATGATCAAAGTGTATGGATCTCTTTGCAAAAACTTTATGATACAGGGAAAACTAGGCTAGTATAAAATAATAGTAAGTAGATATTAATGTTTTTGTTTAAACACAGCTCAAGTATATAAAAATGGGTAAATATATAGAAGATTAAAACAAGATTACCAACAAGGTAAATGGTATACATATTTGCATCAAATATCTTATGAGCACATAGAAGTTTTAAAAAAATCAACCATAGTAAACTGTATCACAGAAAGAATATAAATAGCATTTTCATATCATACTACAATAACTAGAAATTAATAACAAAACCAAAGACAAAAGTACTTTAACTTGAAAATTTTCTGTTAGTCACTCAGTCATGTCCAACTATTTGAAACCTTGTGGCTTGTAGCCAACCAGCTCCTCTGTCCATGGGATTCTGCAGACAAGAATACTGGAGCGGGTTGCCATTCCCTTCTCCAGGGGATCTTCCGAACCCAGGGATTGAACTCAGGTCTCTTGCATTGCAGGCAGATTCTTTACCATCTGAGCCACTAGGGAATCCTAAGCATCTAAGCCAACCTAAGCCTAATCTAACCTAAGTGGCTTCCCTAGTGTAGATAAAAGGAAATAAAAGTGTAGATAAAAAGAAATAAACTTTCTCTAAGTGAAGATAAAAGGAAATGAAAGCTGAATTTTCAGAATTTCTAGATGAGAGATGCTGAAGCTGAAGCTTCAATACTTTGGCTACCTAATTTGAAGAGCCTGATTCATTGGAAAAGATGCTGATGCTGGGAAAGACTGAAGGCAGGAAGAGAAGTGGGTGACAGAAGATGAGATGGTTGGATGGCATCACTGACTCAATGGACATGAGTTTGAGCAAACTCCGGGAGATAGTAAAGGACAGGGCATGCTGCAGTCCATGGGGTCCCAAAGTCAGACACAACTTAGCAATTGAACAAAGCAACAAAATGAAAGAATGGCATATGTAAGATGTGAAAGTGAAAGTCGCTCAGTTGTGTCAGACTCTTTGCAATTCCATGGACCAGTTCAGAATACTAGACTGGGTAGCCTTTCCATTTTCCAGGGGATCTTCCCAACCCTGGGATCAAACCTAAGTCTCCTGCATTGCAGGTGGATTCTTTTTCAGCTGAGCCACAAGGGAAGCCCAAGAATACTGGAGTTGGTTGCCTATCCCTTCTCCAGTGGATTTTCCCAACCCAAGAGAACCACGGTCTCCTGCATTGCAGGTGGATTCTTTACCAACTGAGCTATTAGGAAAGTCCCTTATGTAAGGTGTATTGCCAACTAAAACAGCTTGAAAACAAACAGAAAAAGTAAAGAATAGAATAAATATAAAAATACAATGAGACAAAAAACAGAAATATTGGAACAATAAAATACTGATTTTTCAAGATAAAGTCCATAATATAGACAAAACCTGAACTAGTATAATAAAAATTGGGGGAGGGTAAGGAGGTAATCCAAATATGCAAAAACAAAGTATGAAAGGAAACATCTCTGGAAAAGAGGAAATTTCAAACACCACTTTCAAAATATATTTGAGATTTTATATAAATAATATCATTTATTAGGAAAATATAATCTCCAAAATTGACTTCAATTGAGATTGCAAGTTTAAACAAAGCAAATTTCTATGGAATAAAGAAAATAGTAAACTATCATATTTAGGACTGGACATGGAACTGGACTGGTTCAAAACTGGGAAAGGACTATATCAAGGCTGTATATTAACATCCTGCTTATTTAACTTATATGTAGAGTACATCATGTGAAATGTCAGTTTGGGTAAAGCTAAAGCTGAAATCAAGATTTTTGGGAGAAATGTCAATAACCTCAGAAATGCAAATGACACCACCCTAAATGGCAGAAAACCAAAAGGAACTAAAGAGCCTCTTGAAGGTGAAAGAGGAGAGTGAAAAAGCTGGCTTAAAACTCAACAGTCAAAAAACTAAGATTGTGGCATCTGGTGCCATCACTTCATGACAAATAGATGGAGAAAAAATGGAAATGGTGACAGACTTTTCTTGGGCTCCAAAATCACTGCAGACAGTGATTGCAGCCATGAAATTAAAAGATGCTTACTCCTGAGAAGAAAAGCTATGACAAACCTAGACAGCATATTAAAAAGCAGAAACAGCACTTTGCCAACAGAGGTCTGTGTAGTGAAAGGTGTGGTTTTTCCAGTAGTCATGTACAGATATGAGAGTTGGACCATAATGAAGGCTGAGCACCAAAGCATTGATGCTTTAGAACTGCGGTTCTGGATAAGACTCGAGAGTCCCTTGGACTGCAAGGAGATCAAACCAGCCAATCTTAGAGGAAATCAACCCTGAATATTCATTGGAAAGACAGATGCTGAAGCACCAATATTTTGGCTTCCTGATGCAAAAAGCCAACTTATTCGAAAATAACCTGATGCTGAGAAAAACAAGGGCAGGAGGAGAAAGGGATGACTGAAGATGAGATGGTTGGACGGCATCATTGACTCAATGGACATGAGTTTGAGCAAACTCTGGGAGATAGTGAAGGACAGGGAAGCCTGGCGTGCTGCAGTCCAAAGAGTGTTAAAACACTCTTGAGCAACTGAACAACAACAAATCTATCCCACAAAAAGTTTTATACCAAAATGTTTTCATGGGTGAATTCAAGAAATCATAAAAAAAAATAGATGCAATTCTATTACATTATTTCAGTAAATAAAAAAAGAAAACTTTCATATTATATTTGAGACAAGTATAATAGTGTTCCTGAAAACTGAGCAACTAGACAGTCTAATGATACATCTTGATTTTTTTTTTTGCTTTGAAATTTAGAAACAAATTTTATTTAAGATCTGAAATACGATTCCTAAAATATCAACCTCTCCGGAAAACCATGGCTACACGGTAATGCATTGCCTCTATCATGTTAGAACGTGCATTAGGCTCAAATACAAAAACCATGAAACAAACCACCATCCTTCAACAACTTGAGCAAAGATAGAATGAATGCCTAAGGAACAACACAGATGGACTTGCAGAGGATGGGCTGTTTTACTTCAAGCACCATAAAAAAAAGCACAAATGCATGGGTTTTTCGGGTATATACATTAAGTTGAACCTTTGGCACTAGGAATCAGGGCATTTTTCACGTAGCATTAACACATATTAGAAAATCGTGTAGTGTCAAAGGGATAGAACCACCAGCATTCAAGCAATGTTGTCATCTAGGCAATAAAATGTTCTACTGAATGTTTTTTCTTTGTCTAATTACTGCATACACTGGTAGCAACTTCGAAATGAGAAAAGGAGCTTACACTCCTTTTATTTTCTGTTTAGGAGAAAACAGAAAACAAACTAAAATATAAGCCCTGTTATACATTAACGATTTTAAAGAGTATCAATTATACAAGAGAAAGACTAAGAACAAAAAGAGCATTTACAGATACCAGATGTAACAGTGAGTGGTCAGTAGACCCTCACAGGGCTTTGAGGTGGTACTCAGCAGAAGCCACTTTATAATCACTGGCAGTGAACAGAGATGCAGCATTTTTTGCCAGGTATTTCAGGAAATCATGCAAATATCCCAACAATAATGCAAGGCTCTTCTCATCAAGGGGTGTGTATGCCATTGCCCCAATTCTTACAAATATTCTCAGGAGGTGTGGTGCCCCATAAACCTGGGACATTGGCGCATCAGGGTGAGCCAAGAGAATTTCAGCATACTGGGGCCTCTCAAATTTGTAGAGCAGCTGGGTGCCCAACATCACGTTGAAATACTCTTTTATCCCTCCCACCACCTCATTAACTGCATACTCCTTGTTGTCAACATTGCCTTGTGATCTTTTGCAGTTGGCGTATTCTTCCAAAATAGTATCCACGTTTTTCTTGGCTGGGAGTTGGAAAAGTTGCTTCTGCCTGGTGACTAAGTCCCAGTCCTCAACAAGCCATGGTTTTAATTCTTCTGGAATCTTCACCTTAACTTCCATTCTACTCTTAAAAGCATCCTCACTTTCAACTGTGGGGTCTGCCTGGGCCCTCTTCTTTCGAGGTGGCTGGGGTGCTTCACTGGTGCTGCCACCATCTCCGTTCCCAGGGGTCTTCTGTTTGTTCTTTCTGGTCTTCCTCACCGATCCTGATGGAGGGTTCTCAGCAGAGCGACACCCCCCACCCCATCTGCCTGGGAGAGCTGCTTCCAGATTCTTCTGCTGGGGACCAGCTCTCTTCTTTCCAGATGTCCCTCTCATTTTACTTCTTTGCGTGTTGCTTCTAGTTGTTTTTTTTAAATTGTCTTCATTCGGCAGATTGGTGTCCACGAGTTTGAGAATCCTGCTTTCTGGAACTAATTCAACCCTGTTTTTATTCCAACCAGCAATCCTCTTCTTTCCCTGCCTAGAACTCCTACTGTTTTCCCAGATGGAATCTTATAGATCTTCTGGGATGGTCGTGGAGATGAAGTGAGAGACACAACCCAAGATTCTGTAATGAGGGATGTTCTGCAAATCAGGATCAGAGCTGATCCTCGCTACACAGCAAACTTAGTTTTTCTGATGGTAGTCTGAAACGAGGATCCAGTTCTTTCCAACAGATGATGTGTGATCACTGCCGTCTCTCCAACTGCCATAGTCTACATCTTAATTTTTTTAAATACTATTCACTACTAAAAGAAATTTGGACTCCTTGGAAAGATAAAGCATTTACTATATGGGCAAAAGAAATACAAGTTGTAATGATATAGAATTCAACTTAAAATAGCTTGTGAAGTAAAGTGAAATTCCCTCAGTTGTGTCTGACTCTTTGTGGCCCCATGGACTGTACATGGAATTCTCCAGGCCAGAACACTGGAGTGGGTAGCCTTTCCCTTCTCCAGGGGATCTTCCTAACCCAGGAATAGAACCCAGGTCTCCAGCATTACAAGCAGATTCTTTACCAGCTAAGCCACAAGGGAAGCCCAAATTTGGCAATATTGAGCAGTTTCAAGAATAATAATGATTATGGGTTATAACATATTGAGTACATAAAAAAAAAATGGGTCCATAGAGTTACTGAAGACAAAATAAAACAGGATATATAATCTGAGAAAAGAGAGAAGTTGGAAAACTTTTCTTACAGGAGAATGTCAGCTAATATAAAAATACAGATGACAAAATTAGGTCACTATTGTTTGTAACTCTCAGTTTATTTCAAATGTAGGTAATCAATTCACTCTCCCCACAGATTACTCCTTGATCACAAAGGGTAGATTTGTCTTTATGATAGAAATTGTAAGTAATCAAGCTCTCCATTGCCTGTGGTGGGACAGCTTGATAGGGGTCTGATCTGTTAAGTGGTCACCATAAGGTGTTCTGCCTGGAAAACTTTTAACCTGAATCTTGATACAAGATGAATCAATAATGTGAACTCCTCTGCAGGATAACTGTCCTGAATTCTTAAAAGGATTCAGTGGCATCAAGAATAAAGAGAGGAAGGGTAATTGCTCTAGTTTCAGGAAGTCAAAGGTGACTCAATAACCCAATCCAAAGTGTAAATGTTGATTGCGTCCGAGATTGGAAAAGATAAAGTATATTTTGAGACAAGGGAAAATTTTCATATAGTTTTTTCTTAGATGTTATTATATTCATGTTGATTTTCTTAGGTGTGATAATGGTATTATGATTGCACAGGAGAATGTCATTGTTCTTGAATTTATGCTAAAGTGTTTTGCGAGAACAATGTCATGATGCCTAAAACCTACTTTAAAATAGTTTGGAGAAATTGAGGAATCTTTCTCTCTCTCTGTTCATGTACATCTGTGTCTGTAGGTTTATATGTGTATGTGTGTGTGTATATCCGTGTGTAGGTGTGTGTATGCGTGCATGTGTGTATAGGAGGGAGGAGAGTGGAGTGAGACAGGAATTGTGGTGTGATGCTAACAGTTGGTCAAAAGTATAATATATAGGAATTCATTATGTTGTCTTTGAGCTTGTAAGTTTGAAATCTTTCAAAATAAAGTAGCAAATTTAAATAACAAAAAAGAGATTCTCTAACCAACTTCCATATCTTATTTTCTACTTTATTGAAGTTTGCACTGAACGACCATAACCCTTGCCTTTGATCATTTAGAATCTTATGCTCATGGAAACCTTTGCCCTGTTAATAGCTCTTATAATATTAGCTTGTAGTGAATTTTTCATTTTACCCTTGAAAGGAAATAAGGTAATTGCCAGATGGGAACACATTCCTCACTGAAATATTTAACATACTCTGTAAAGTGATAACAGATCAGTAAAGTATTGTTTGTCATTCTCTGTATTTCCTTCAATCTGGATGTTACCTGGGAACACTGGAGAATTTGTGTAATTACTTATGGTGGTAGTATCAGAATCTAGAGTTGACATGTCTGCTATGTCTTCATTTTATCTCCTAATATACACTGAGTAGTTTTTCAAATACTCTTAAGTCAGAGCTTGGGATATTTTAATTTGTAATGTCATGTTCCTGTGAAATAAGAATATTCTCAATACCCCAAAGTAGTATTAAATTTTCAAGTGGAGAATTTATTATGGATAACACATTTTATTATTTCCTCAATTGTATAAAGTTACATTTAGGTAATTTAAGGAAATTTAATTTCTTCAGATGGTAAAAACAGGCAAGATTTTTGGTATTATATAAAAGCACATGTATACAAACTACTAGGTAAGGTCAGTGTGTTTTTAAAAGAATTCATAACAGATAATGCAATGATAGTTGATCTCAGCTAGTCTTGAGACTTTAGAGTCACTTAAATAGAAAAGAATAAAATCCTCTAAATACTTTGCTTCTTGAGATCTTAAATGATTTACTTTTGTTGGCGTTTTCCCTGATTTATCTTTGCTTTGCTGCTAAGTCACTTCAGTCATGTACTCCTCTGTGAGACCCCATCCCTGGGATTCTCCAGGCAAGAACACTGGAGTGGGTTGCCATTTCCTTCTCCAATGCATAAGAGTGAAAAGTGAAAGTGAAGTCGCTCAGCCGTGTCCTACTCTTTGCAACCCCATGGACTGCAGCCTACCAGGCTCCTCCGTCCATGGGATTTTCCAGGCAAGAGTACTGGAGTGGGGTGCCATTGCCTTCTCCGGATTTATATCCTTAATACTTCTTAACTCATGCTCTGCTCACTGAGAGGCAGAAATGTAGCTTTTGAAAACAATTTGGAAGATGGTAAGCATTGATTCAGTGTTGACAATACCTGTTTCATTTCTCTGGGGACTTGCCTCCAGCCCCGAGTATGGGAACATACTTGGCCTTTCAGAGAAACCTCTAAGGAGCTCGCTGCTAGAGATGGGAGAGATGAGCTTGTTCTCTCAGAGCTGTGTAATGATTCTAATGACCCATGATAGAAGTGTCTGGAATTTATGTCACTGTCTTTTTTTGTGACAGACATTCCATGATTTGGTATGCCTGTGAAACATTAGCTGCCTTATCAAAAAATACACTTGAGATCATGCAGTTGTAATAAGACAGACTTAAGCAAAAATGCTTTGTTAGTCAATCAGTCTCTTTCTCTTGAAGTTTGGAAGCCACCATGCGAAGTTAGACTTTAGTAGAAGAGGTGTACAACCTACTGCTGAGTGAGCTTTTTATGATCAAACTTCCTGCATGTCTATTGCATGTTTAACAAAACTAGTGCAATTTCAGTAACGAACTATCCTGCTAATTAAAGAAATACCATGTATTTGATGGATCCACTATACATCACAACCAGATACAGGAAAGAATAGAGAAAGTGTACTAAATTAAAAGCCAGAACTCTCTTTTCCAGTGTAGCATCCTTGGAAGTGTGAAGATGATGTAACTTTGGGCCATTATGTACTTTGTGAGTCAAAATTCATAATTTGTTTGCTACCGAGCACAGTAGCAAAAAGTTTTCCTTGCACATTGCTGGTCCCCGATGGCACATTCATATTGGGTTTCAGATCATCTTGTCCTTTACCATGGTGTTCATATCAAACTGTGGTTTTAGAAAAAGGCTAAAAATAGAGTTTTTATGTTGTGATCATCCTCTTACATTAAGCTAATAAAAATAATTATGTTGCATGGCATTCTATTCAAGCCAGTGAAAATAGGATATAATCAGAATCATGAAGATTTAATTTCTTAAAAGGCCGAATTTCTTCAGTCAGTGAAATTTTATGGTATCCAGTGTACCAGGCACTATTCCAAAGGGGAATAGAAGAATTTTTCTGTGATATTAAATATAGCTTTTACTATACTGAAGTATGTATTTATTTTATTTATATTTTCTCTCATATACTTTATTATTTTTTATTGAATATAATTATTGTTTTAGTTTCTGCTGCACAGTGAGGCTATAAGTATTCATATATCTCTACCCACTTGAGCCTTCTTCTCACCCCACACACCCATCCCACCCCTCTAGGAGATCACAGAGCACTGAACTGATGAGCTTCCTATGCTTTATAGCAGGTTCCCACTAGCTATCTGTTTTACACATGGCAGTGTATATATGTCAATACCAATCTTCCAATGCATCCCACCCTGAATTGTATTTTTAAAGTGTGTGTGTTTTCATTATGAATTAAAAAGCCGTATTTTTTGACAAGATCAAGATAGTCACTGCTGTTACAGTGTGTGTGTGTGTGTGTGTGTGTGTGTGTGTATTTATAGCACACCACTAAAAACTTGGAGCTTATAGAGTTGCTTTGTTGACTTCAGCTTAATTAATTTAAAATCTGGCACCTTGAACTCTATGCTTTCAGGAGCTATTTGGTTTGTGCTCTAGACTACTGGCTTTAAATTTGATGTCTTTGTCTAACACAAATCCTAATAATTTAAATAATATTGTGGGTTCTCTAGGAATAATCACTTTTTGTTTCTAAAGATATGTTTGATATTCTGCTTTCATTGATGCCCTCCTGACATGAAGGACATTATAGAATAAAATGTAAAACTTCATAATCTTTGGAGAAATATAATGATTACAGTCTTATTAGAGAGGTGCCACACAGCAACTACTGAGCAATTTAATTTTTGCTAAATTAATTTTCACATGCCACTGTACAGTTGGAAATGGCATTCTTTTTAAAAATAGTATGAAACTTGTATATTTTATCTACTCATATGAGAATTTCTCAATGTAGAAATTGGGAAAGTTGATAATTAAAAAAATCTAAGTGAAATAATTAAATGTTTTCAAACTATAGCAGTTCAGTTCAGTCGCTCAGTCGTGTCTGACTCTTTGCAACCACATGAATTGCAGCTCGCCAGGCCTCCCTGTCCA